GACACGACACCTGTTAGAGTAGCTACACATTGAGTGATAAGCTCCGAAGAGTTTTGTGCCTCTTTCTTGCCTGTTGCATTTTTTGTTAGAGTACTAGGCCAATTATTTGAAATAGAAAAAGAAAAATCAACAATTGAATAGAAAATAATATCTAGCATGAACAATGAGCAACGCACAAAAATTAACGTGGTTCGGCTTAATCAGCAAGCCTACGTCCACAGAGAGAAAAACTTGTTCTTACTATGAGAGAAAAACACCACAAGATTATAACTTGATTCTCAAGCTCCAACTCTTGTATAACTCTCTCGTCTACTAAGAACTTTCTCACCCCTTTCTTGTGTCTATTTGTAGTGTGCCAATCTACCTATTTATAGACAACATTACTTGGTCAAAAGGTCAAATAATAATTGGAAACCGATACTAATTCCTAGATGCATATAGAGTAGGAAATAATATCTAATTCTAAACCAAATACGACTTTCCTTGACTACTATTTCAAGTAACTAAAACCAAGTAAGAAACTAGTTACTTTCCACACCAAATAAGGATCTTGACTAAAAGAAATTAAGCCAATTTCCTAACATTTTTCAGGTTAGGATCGGAAGCCTGCAAAACAATCAAAATGCTAGAGTTCAGTTCGGTTGATTCAGAAAAGCCAGAACTAGAGAGTTGAATTTATGGCAACAATCAGTCTTACAGCTGGAACAGAGGAATCATCTGAAGGAAGCTGCTCATTTGCATAATCAATAGCCTCCTCAAATCTTCTCAAATGTATTCTCCCCACCTTTAAGCGAGGACATGGCCTAAATGATTAAAAGCAAATTCGAATTATAATTAATAAATGCTAAGGAATGAAACTTCAACTCAATAAATATTCATCTGCCAACCAGAAACCAATATAACAAATTAGTGATGGCAGTGCATTGAGAAAAACCGACACTGTAGCTTAAAAACTAAAGGTATGTACTTTTGGGATCATATCAGAAGCAGCAGCCCAATTAGATCTATGTAAACTAAACAGAAGGGGTCAGTTCAAACATAAAAGAAACATCATCCTAATCAAAGCCTACCAGAATTCAAGAAGTTTCTCCTATTATGCAATATCGTGTGACAATTGGTGTGTAAACGATGGTGTCCTTTGTCCAATAACACAAGCTATGCCTCCTAAGACTCTAGAAAGCATCACAATGGTACATTTCAGTATGGCTCCAATTATAATGAACAATGGAAGCAAAGAAAAGTTATGGTCTAGTAACTAGTGCAAGAAAATCGGAAAAGGCCAGATTCTTTCACAATCAAAAGACATGTTTACGGCCAAGTAAATATAAAAATCTTAAAGAGCAAAAGATAAACTGCAGGCATAGGGTAAAATTTCACAAACACATAAAAGGACAGGAAAATGCCTTGTTCTTAGGCCAATTACATGACTCAAGCATACTAGATTGCAAACTTGCACCAACTCCTTGTACTCTTAGTAAATTGGATGGAGGCAAGAAAAGAGTTCTTGGAGAGAGAATGCTTATGTTTTACCATATAACTCCCTTATGATTTAGTGTTTTACTATATAATCCCCTTATGATTTTCAAACTATATATATAAATTTCTGTGATTAATAAATAATTTTCAACTTTACATAGGATACTTTTGACATTTTAGTTTACTCCATTATAGGATACAAATTCCATTATTTTGACATTTTTAATCCAAATCATGAGAGCGTTATATATAATTTTTGAGACCATATGAGAGGTTATGTGATAAAACACTAAATTACAAGAGGGTAAAGTGTATTTTGCCATACTGTTGTGTTCATATGGTCATTTCTTTCACTACTAATAAATTTTTTTTTGGGGCTAAAGAAATGGGCCAAACAGAGACTACATGTACCTGACAAAGACCAGAAGTTAACTGATTATATGTACTACATTATTGTGATTTTCATAGGACTGAGCAAGGTTTTTTGTATGATTTTCAACATGCAATATAGCGTGGATTGTGAATCTCTTGGTAGGATATTATTGCAAAAGGTTCTTCGATAATTACAGTGAGGTTCAATAGCATAGGAATCAATATGTTTGAACCTTAAATATTTTATGATCCCAATTCAAGAGAACAATAGTTTTCTATAATTATTTAAATGCTTTAGTGAAATTTATTTTTACCTGAAAGAAGTGCTCCACTAAAAGTCTAAAACGTCTACGTTCAACTGAAGAATGAAGGCTAAAGGCTCATATCTCATTTCTCTGAGTAAACATGAGAAAAGAACTTCATAGTGCAAAGAATTGGTAAAGAAATGTAACATTGCAGTATTTTTATAATGTAATGTGTATGAGATGAAAAAATTATTAGAAATTATGTTCATAATACAAACTGAATCATATTTGAAATTATTATTATTATTATTATTATTATTATTATTATTATTAGCAAATTGTGTTAGTCCAATGGACCTATTGATTTTTAGTTGAAACTCTATTGAACTTGGATTCTGTTTGATAACATAATTTAGTACTTAAATTTAATCGGTTTAGATCTTAACATGTTCAAACGAGTTTGATAACTAAAACTAGAACATATAGATTAATTAAGTGGCACTGAATTTCCTTTGTAAAACTTGTTCTAAAAAATAAGTGATAAGTTATTCACTTATCACTTCATGTAATATACATTTAAATGTATTAAATTTAGTACTTAACAATTCAGTAACTTAATGGATTTATATTTCAGACTTCAGATTTTAGTTTCCAAATTTCAATTTTACCAAACGCATCCTTAAAGAAAAGACTTCTGGTCTCTAAATCGAAGATTGAAGAATGCTATGGATTGCTCATCTCTCCCCACCTTACTTGAAAGAAAGAGGGAAATAAAAATCTTAGTACAATTACTTAATTTAACGGCTTTAGTAAGTTTTTTGTTTTATAGATTAGGCTCTTGACATTAGCAAGATAAGATGGAATTTGCACATATCTTTAAGAATAATATTAACTCTTAACAAAAGAATAATAATACTAAGTCATAATCAAGTTCAATTGTTGGCAACTCTAGTTGTTAGAACTGTATGACATTTTTGTTGAACTTCAATGGCGGCGCAGGAGAATTAGAGAGGAGAAAATTTATAATACGACCTAATATTGGATATTGCAGTTTAATTTAAAAATTTGGGAAGAGGATGACTAATTTACTCAGGTGGCGTTTGGTTCGCACATCGGAGTCGGATTCGGATTCGGAATCGGATATTTTGGATTTGGAATAAGGTCATTCATTCCAATACATCTGTTTGGTTCAAGTACCTGGAATGTGTATCATTACTATAGTTGATGTTTGGTTCGTCGGCTCTTTCGAAATGGAATATAATAAATATATTATAAAGCACATCGTAAATGATAATCATTGGCTCTTTGTAAATGGGATATAAGAAATTTTCACTAATTAAATATATTAGTATAAAAGTATTAGTAAATTTAGTATAACTAATTAATAATTTCTATTAGTAAACATATATAATTATTAGTATAATTGATAATATCAATTTATTACATAAATTAATATACATTATATAATAAATATAATTAATAATAATATTATTATAAGTTTGTAACTAATTAAATTAAATATTATATATAAAATTAAATATAAATATACAAATGTTATAATATAAATATATAATTATAATTATATAATATATACAAATATTAATTATACTGATATTTTATATAAATATAATATATATTACATATTAAATATAGTTATTATTATATATTATTATATTTAAAATAATAATAATTATTATTATTATATAACTTATTAATATTATATACATGTATATATTATAATTATATGCACATATAATATACATTTATAAATATACATATATATTATAAATATATTATTATATAATATTAATAAATATATAATATATATTATATAAATATAATTATATTTAACTAAATAATTATAATATATAATTATATAATTATATAATATCATTATTATAAGTTTGTAATTAATTAAATTAAATATTATATATAATTAATTATAATTATACAAATATTATAATACAAATATATAATTATAATTATATAATATATAAATATTAATTGTACTAATATTTTATATAAATATAATGCATATTGATATTAAATATAGTTATTATTATATATTATTATATTTAAAATAATAATTATAAATATAATTATAATTATATAATTTATTAATATTATATACATGTATATATTATAATTATATGCACATATAATATACATTTATAAATATACATATATATTATAAATATATTATTATATAATATTAATAAATTTATAATATATATTATATAAATATAATTATATTTAACTAAATAATTATAATATATATTTATATAATATACTAATATTATAATAAAATATATAATTATAATAAAATATTATAATAAAATATATTTTATATATGTATATATTATAATATAAATATAAATATATAATATATATAAATATTAATTATACTAAATATTATGTAATTATGAGATTTTGGAATCACACTTGGGTTTTGGACAAAACCCACCAACTTACTAAGGAATGGTGGAATGCTAAATTATTAGCTATCATTCTAAAATTTCAATTCCGGTAGTAGTGAACCAAACATGAATCATGGACTTTATTCCAATTCTCCATTCCGAAACCCTTTTACCAAACACCACCTCAATACTGATGAAAATTTTATAAAATATACTCCTATAAATTGGGCAAATTGCCTTGTGCTTGGCTGGCTCCTTCCCTACCCAAAACTTTCTTGATTCCTTGTTAAATAAAATTTGGTACAAGTGGAACATTTGATGGCTGAATGCAGATAATGTCAGACGTCGTTTCAGTTGTATTAAGCACCTACTTTTATGTAAAAGCCTTTAACAATAAGATCATCATTTAGATTTTACTGTCATGATTTTGCTGACAAACCACTCGATTAAGCAATTTCGCAGTATCAGGCAAAATTGATAAGCCGACAGAGATAACAAAAAATGATTACTTGAAGAGGAAAAGTAACAAGAGTTCTAAGTTCTCTCTATCAAATGTCTAACTAAAAATGGGTAGGAAATCTTACAAATATGGTCTCTAGACATATTTTTACTCCCCGCAAAAGATGAAGAAAAGGTACTATCAGGACTTGTCACATTCTGATACACCAAAAGTATGAAATGCCATCTTAAAAGTGTTAATTCTTCACAAAATCTTCATAAAAGTGTTAAATATGCACACATCTACTGAAAAGAACGTTTTGCTTCCTCTTCTTTGGACCTTTGTGCAATTCAAGACTTCTTGCATCGACGTTTCTTATTGCTCCAAATTGATTGTTTATCCAATTTATTGTCTCTACTGTCACAAACATCCAACTCTTTTACCAACAAGTCCATCAGTCCAGTTTGCCTAAAATCAGTTCAGCAATCAGCAAAAGAAATAAAAAAGTTTTGGTAATTGATTTACTAAACACATATCAACAAAGCAGATCAGAAATTGTTAAAACTGCCCTAAGGACGTACAAGCTAAATTATTACCTTCCTTTCTGCATTCTGACCAGCAGATAACGAAAAACTTTATGTTTGGGAAACGTGGGGAGAACCACCTATTGGTGAAGCCTCCATCAAAGCTGATGCTATCTAATGAGCTAAATTAACATCATTGATAACCGCCTTCATCTTCAAACCTGTCTAGTCAGTGAAAATAACTTCTGGCCCCTGGCAATCTTGTCCAACAACATGAGGTCTGCTTTCTAAGACTCTGGAAAGCACCATCGCAATGTTACATATTTGAGTATGAATTCAGTTATGACAGCCAAGGAATGCAAAGAAACGGTATGGTCTAGTAACCAGTGCAAGATAATGCAAAAAAACCAGCTTCTTTCACAATCAAATGACATGAGCTCCGAGTAAATGTAAAATCTTAAAGAGCAAAAACTAAGCTATATAGCATAGGAGAAACATTCAAAAACACATGAAAGTGCAGAAAAACACCCTGTTTTCTGGCCAATTGCATGACACAAGCATACTTTGATAAAAACTTGCACCAATTCCCTTGTATTTTTAATAAATTGGGCGGAGGTAAAAAGAGTTCTTGAGGAGAGAAGCTGATGTTTGAGCACCATCATACCTCCTCAGCTCTCCTTCTTCAACAACGATGGGAAACAACATGAACATGATGTTTGAGCACCATCATTGCCTTCTTGTTCGCTGTCACTGCTTGTCTGCAAGGTAACAATACAATAATTCTGCTCACGGAACAGAAAAGCAAGGTAATTGTGATGTACAAACTCCTCAAACTTGTGCAAGATGATAAACAACCATCCCATATTATTGTCATTCTTATGAAGCATGCATCAGCGATTGGAAGGGGTGTAGGTTTGCAGCACTCTAGTCCCTCAACAAACATATTTGAAATTCAGGGAGACTGATATAATTTTGTCGCAATAAGAACACAGAGTCCCAAAGAACAGCAAATTGTATCTTGAATTTTCTTCACAAATGTTTCTTGATTAGCTTTAATGTTGTCCATTCAGACTGGCAATATCAGTGACAGAAAAATTACAAATGCATCCATGTACATCTAGCATTGCACATCCAATGAAGCATTTGCTAACACATTCAAACAAAGAGGCTAATTGTGTATGCACCGTTGCTAATATTTTTGTCCTTGGCCAAATAGCAGGTAACAAGTTCAAGTGTAAGGAATTTTTAAGATATTCAAAACCTTTCAGTGGTTCAGAGAGGCAAGGAAATCAAGAATTTTGATGTTCTTCCAATTTGTTCAAAACCAGGCTTTGTTAAAACTAATCTTTGAAGAGAAACCAAGGTCTGCCCAAAAGAAGAGAATTACAGAGGATGACTATATAGAACTAGTGAAATTTCGTAGAAGAGACAGAGAATAAGAAACTAAAGAGCAAACATATGTCAATGAGATGCAGATACAAAAAAAAAAAATTTATATACATATATATATATATTTTATGAATGTGAACTTTAGATAGGAAATCTTACAGGATCACTTGAAATCTCATCACTTGAAATCTCCTCCTTTAAGTAGATGCCTCTTTGGGGAGTGTACCGTTGTCTTAGTAGAGGACACTGATAAACTTCAACACGAGTTAACTTGGTGAGGCGTCTCATGGTGGCCTCGGATGGTAAAGATTGAAGCTTTTGGCAAGACCATAGCCATAGGGTTTCAAGAGACACAAGGTTTCCAATCCAATCCGGTAGCACTTCTATTCCTCCAAAGTTGTCCAGACTTAGTGAAGTGAGGGTAGTCAAGTATTGAAGCTGGTGTGGCAGGGAGTCCGAGTGAGGCAAGCCTCGTAATTCAAGCTCACGGAGTGTTAATGCAGATATTAAGCCAGACCAATCAAAATCATCCATTGAGAAGTCATTTGAGGAGAAGGAAGCGATCCACAATTCTCTTAAGTTGGTGGCAAAAGAAGATCCATTTAACCTATGAAGGATCAATTTGGGACATCCGACTATGGCTAAATCCTTGAGAGAAGGCGTCTCCTGCAAATTATGCGACAACGACACCAGATTGGGGCACCTCACCACCCGTAGGGACTGCAGAGACAGGCATGACTCGAACATTTTGTTGGGTATGGTGGTCAACCCATCGCAACCACAAAGCCTCAATCGCTCAAGATGGGATAGGGGGCATTTCTGTCCATTTACTCCCAAACTAATTAATCTTGGGCAATGTGAGATGCTCAAATCTCTCAGCATGGGAAAGACATCTGCTTCTGCTTCACCTGTTATTGACCTCATTTGGTCTGCTTCCTTCCACTCTACCAAATTCTCCATATATTCTACATAGAGTTCTTCAAGGGCCGGAAAGAATTTTCGTCTTCTAGTGCTGCTCCCTGATGCTTGTGATCTGCCCTCCCCCTCCTCCTCATTAGCAGTAATACCATAGAATTCATCTCCAACAGATCGAATGTTGTCCAGTCTTTTCAAATAGAGACGTTTGAGGGATGGTAGTTGTCCTACTGTAGGGAGTTCACTGCATCTTTCGCAATCTTCTATTTGCAACTCCACCAATTTTGACAAATTCACAAACCATTGTGAAAATTTATTACCCATAAAATATCGAATTTCCAACTCTTGCAAATTTTGGTGAGGTTGGAGACCTTCCAACACATCCTCATCACAGTTATCGCTTTTCCGATCCCCACTCTTCCATTCAAAGTCCAACCGTAAGTGAGACAGACTCGGCTTTTCAAACAATTTTGCTTGTTTAGCTGCTTCTTTGCCCTCTACTAGTCCAAGATTTCTGATCTCCAATGACCCTTTAAGATATTTCAAGGTCCCAAGCTCTTCGATACCACAACCCCTCTCTTGACTTACATTAAAAAACATGAGAGTTTGAAGACAAGCCAATCGTCCCATATGCATCGGCATTTTAAATTCTGCATCATCATGGTTGTAGTTTAGATGACGCAAGCTGATCAAATTGCTCATTTGGTTTGGAAAACCTCCTTCAAGTGCATCATCGCTCATCGTTAGTGTCTGCAAATTATATAGCTTGCAAAGAGATTCCGGCAAACTGGTGATTTCAGAATATGAAATATTAAGCAACCGTAAGTGCAGTAGTTCGCCAATGGAGCTTGGCAAAAACGTGACATGTTCCCCTGACAATTTTAGAACATGCAAGTGCTTGAATCTTGATAACATGTCGGCAGATATGCGACTCTCTAGATGGAGAAATAATGTACGAAGTGATGCTGATTTATTCCTTCTGACATTTTCTGCCATTTCTTCATATGAGTTTAATACAAGGTAGCGATCTTGGTTGCTGCTTTTAGGATTGAGAACAGATTTTGCAAAATCATGCACGAGATCATGCATTTTATAATATGTTCTCCACGACTCTTCTACTTTTTCCAATAAGGAATTTTGTAACAAAATCCTCAAATAATCAGCCCCTATTTCCTCCATCAATCTTTGGTTTTGGCGATCTGGTTGAACAAAACCTTCCGCCATCCAAAGCTCAATTAATAGATCTTGTTTCAAATCTGTATCCTTGGGGAAAATTGAACAATATGCAAAACATTTTTTAACTGATGCAGGTGACAAATGATCAAAACTCACCTTAAGTATTTGATCAATCTCGCTTTGATATTCGTTTGTGTGACTCTCCTTCATGATAGATTTCCACTCCTCTTTCTTCTTGTTAACCAACAAACCTCCAATTAACTTAGCTGCCAATGGTAAGCCATCACATTTTCTTAAAATCTGATTCTTTATTGCTTCCAATTCTGTTGGTACTTCTTCCCCTGCAATTACCATTTCTTTCAGGATAGACCAGCACTCATTGTCTGGTAGCTTTCCTAAGAAATAAGGACCACCATTCATCTTCAAAGGTCTAGACACAGCATTTGCCACTGGTACCAGACGAGTGGTGACAAGACACCAGCTTCCTTTGGTTTCGTTGAGTCCCATCAAAGTGTTGAAATAGTCATCCCACAATCCTTGTTCATGATCCCACACATCATCAAGAACAAGGAAATATCTTTGTCCCTTGAGCTTTTCTCCAATTTTTTTAACGATAACATCCCTGTCATCCACTTTGACTTCTTCTCGTGTCAATTGTACTAAAATGAGCTTGAACAGCTCCATTATCTTAATTTGTTCTTTAGCCACACAAACCCAAATTTTTTGGCCAAAGTGCCCATCTATTTTTGGATCATTGTAGACTAATTTCGCTAGAGTTGTTTTTCCCAAACCTCCCATGCCTGTCATGGGAATAACCGAAAGAACCTTTTCAGATGGACTCAATAACATGTCCACAATCTTTGATTCATCGTGGACTCTTCCTACAACATTTGGAACAAGAATAGAGTCGGTATGTCGGCTTGTTGTGGCTCCTGCAGCAGCAGGGAGTGCGGCTTCAATTTGGAACCGGAAGACCAGTCCCAAGTCATTTGCCTGCCGATTGATCCTTTCTAGGTTCATGTTGATCTCCCTAATCTTTGAAGCCAACCCTGAACGAGAACCAATTGTATTAAAGTATGAGAAGAAGAAACATACCTTCTTCTTGAGTTGATTTCTATACTTCACCTCCCGATGAAGAGTTTCATAGTTGAGCTTGTCCAGCACATTCTCCACTTCAAAAAGCTCTCCTTCAAGCTGCTTGAGCCAATTTTTCACCCCTGGGATATGCATTTTCCCGTCGGCATCAGCCAAGATACCTCGGATGGTTTCAGCAGTGTTGCATAGTCTCTCCAACTCCTCTCTGAATCCAAGAACCAAACTAACACGATCAGCGGTGAGGGAAATAACCGTCTCCAATGCAACCTGAATAGTAGCGCTTATAGCTGCATCGGCCATTTTTCTTGCTTGGAATTAAAATTAGAACAAAAGTATTCTAGTATCAATTCAGGTGATGATATGGATGCTTTTTGCAATGAGATAAGAAGAAATTGTTCAGCTTCAGCAGCTAAAAGCAAAAAATGTTTGGAGAAGAAAAGAATTTGAAGTGCTTCTAAGATAAGACTTCAAGTGCTACTGCTTTATTCTACGGTGGGAGCCTCAAGGATTGATAAATTAAACTAAACTGTAGTAATAATCCTAGTAGGTAAAGAAACTTCTATTACAAACAAACAGGGAATCTTCCTTTTGGACCAGCTACCTTGCTTCTTGGCTGGTTAAGAATAGAGACATAAAGTGGATGGTATATAGGTTTGCATCTCAGTTATCAAACTTGTGATCTCAAGTTACTTGAACATATATTTTCTGAAGAGAACAATCATCAAGGAATTGTAAAATAATCATCAGTAATTTGTTTCTATTGTAAAATTGTTCAGAATTGATCCATTTGAACTTCGCAAATCCAAGGATTTTTTGTCCACTTTCACGGGGAATTGGTGTCGCATTTTTGACCTACAATCCAATTTTCTTTCCTTTTCCAAAAAAAAAATGGTCACTGAAGTCTGGGGATTAGTAACCTGAAAGATGCATTTGCTTCGATCTTGACATCAAAGGGGCATCAACAATTACATATTACTTGTTTTTGTGGAACTGTTTCACTTTGATAAAGAGTAACTTTTGTGTTACATATGTCTCGATCTCGGGTAAGGAAAGACAGAATAATTACTTGGCATAATTGCTTGAGATAATTTATGGCCAAGATTAATTAACCATAATGTGATGACTCTCATTTGCATATTGATTACAACACAAATTCAATGAAGCAAAAGAAATAAACAGAGAGAGATAGGAATGAAGGATCATAAGCAGAGTAGTTACACATTAAGTGATAAGCTCCGGAGAGATCTGTGCCACATTGCTGTCTCTTGCTCGAGCCTGCAAAACAATCAAAATGCTAGAGTTCAGTCCAGTTGATTCAGGAAAGCCAGAACTAGACAGTTGAATTTATGGCAATAAACAATCTTACAGCTAGTGACGGAGCCAGGATTTTTTCCTTTCCGGCCCGCCGGGGGGGGGGTGGGTGGGGATTTTTCCGAACAAAATTACATTAATATGTTATGTTTAAAATAATTTTCATTTATTTAACTATATGACATTTTAAAATATCAAATATTAACTTTAATTATAAAGGTATGTCTATTTCATAAATATGTAACATAGTTATACTAAAATTAAGACAAGAAATTACATTTGATTAAATATCTTATAACGTCACAAACTACCTAAGTTGTACATTATGAAAGATACTCCAATATGTCACTTGTGCAAAAACAAAAATATAACTATTTTCAAATAAAAAAGATAAAAGTTATGTTAACATACCTTGAAATTTCATCCTCTTTTATTAAAAGAAAATTGAGATTTACGTTCTTTCATAGAACTAAATTTATGTATAATTGAATCAATGCTAAATTTTTGAACAACTTGCTTTTTTTATGTACATTATTAGGCAATCATTCAAGCAATTATCTTTTATCTTGTTTGGAGCTTTGTTTTCATTATCTTCATAATTGAAAATGTCCATTCTATAGACTATAGAACAGTAGACTACTGAGTGTGGATGCTTTAAGCATAATTGTGGATGAGGAAAGAAATTTCCTCAGTGTTCGCTGAACACTTTTTGTGCAGTTACTTCGAGCCGTTGCTCGTACATGTAATATGGTTTTTAGTTAATGAAATTTCCTATCGTTTCGACAAAAAAAAAAATAGACTATAGAACGTAGCCAGGATTTTTTCGTTGAGAGGGGGCCTAAATTTTTCTGAACAAAATTATCTTAATATGTTATGTTTAAAATAATTTTCATCTATTTAAATATATGACATCTTAAAATATCAAATATTAATTTTAATTACAAAGATATGTCTATTTTATAAATATGTATTTTAGTCATAACAAAAATTAGGACAAAAAATAACCTTTGATTAAATATCTTATAACATCACAAACTACCCAAATTGTACATTATGAGAAGATGCTCCAATATGTCACTTGTGCAAAAACAAAAATATAACTATGCAGTATAAATATAACTATTTTCAATTAATAAAAGATAAAAGTTAAGTTAGCATACCTTGAAATTTCAACCTCTTTTTTTAAAAGTAAATTGAGTTTTACGTTCTTTCATAGAACTAAATTCATCTATAATTGAATCCGTGCTAAATTTTTGAACAACTATCTTTTTTTATGTACATTGTTAGACAATCATTTAAGAAATTATCTTTTATCTTGTTTTAAAACTTTGTTTTGATTATAATCATAATTGAAAATGCCCGTTCTATAATTGTGGTTGACATAGGAAGAGTGAGAATAAATATAATCAATATGTTAAAAACAAGATAGATCACTCAATTTCTTATCTTCACCAAGCCTTCAGGTAATTATTTGTATAATTGTATATGGGTCAACAAGAGGATAGATCACTAATTTTAAATTTTTTATCAATTAGGCAAAGCTGTATATTTGTATATGGACCAATAAAGTAATTATTTTTGTTTTAACTCATTGATAATTATGAATTGAGTCTTTTATTATAATATGTCAAATTGGGTCAATTTACTATGGATCATCAAATTATATGTTTAATTTTTTGAACATTAAATATTAGCACAATAAAAAATAACTTTTTTTTGAAGAAAAAATTAAATCAAAGGTGGCTAATTCATACACACACAGATATATATATATATATATATATATATATATAAACTCTCATAATATAAACTAAAATTGTAAAAAATTGGGGGGCCAATTTTATCTTATACATATATTTACATATTATGAATTAAACTTTTCAAAACTATGGGCCTCCTTGGCTCCGTCATTACTTACAGCTGGAACATAGGAATCATCTGAAGGAAGCTGCTCATTTACATAATCAATAGCCTCCTCAATCTTCTCAAATGTGTTCTCCCGACCTTTAAGGAAGGACATGGCCTAAATGATAAACAGCAAATTCAGATTAGAATTAATAAATGCTAGGAAATGAAACTGCAACTCAAGAAATATTCATCTGCTAACCAGAAACCTATATATCAAACCAGTGATGCATTGTGTTGAGAAAAACCGATCCTGCGGCTTGAAAAACTAAAGGTATGTACTTTTGGGATCATATCAGAAACAGCAGCCCAATTAGATCTATGTGAACTAAATAGAAGGGGTCCGTTCATGGTTCAAAGACTCGGCCGAGACGGAGACGACTTGGTCAAGTCATTATTGGAACGGGGTTTTTTGTTTCAATATTGAGATGAGATCACTCCGAAATAATGGATCGCTGAGAACTCGACCGAGTCACCGAGAACTCGATTGAGAAGTTTCCGAGACGGATAGAAACGGCCGAATCACCCTGAATAATTCTGAATCAATTCGAATTTTTATTATTTTTACTAATTTTTTATTATTTTTGTTTATCTTTTTTTTTTACAATTTTCAAAATATTAAATGCTTGAAAAATTTGAAGTTTAGCCTAGATTGCGACTAGGGCTGACCGGATCCGTCAAATTTATCCGGGTATGGGTAGGGATTTAATTCCGTTACCCGGATCCGGATCCGTTTTGTCAAACAAAAAAATGGATCGGATACGGAATATAGTATTCCGACCCGTATTGGACCCGGATTCGGATATAAATGGATTAATAATTTAAAATATATATATTTATTAATATAATTTGATTAGGATGATGTATTTGAGTAATCAATATAATTGGACCCGGATCCTAATCAATATAATTTGATTAGGGTGATGTATTTGAGTAAGGTTAATTTGATTTCTTTTCTTATTTGATTTTTTTGTATTAGTTAGAAATTAGCTTATAAATATATGTTTTTTTCTCATTTTTGTTCGAAATTATAAATTTTGTTAGTTTTTTTTCGGGTAGACCCGGATCCGGATCTGGGACCCGTCGGATCCGGATCCGGAAACATAGAGTAAAAGACCCGTCGGATAAACGGGTCGGATCCGGATCCAATATAGTGTGCCCGGTCCGGGTCTGGAATAATGACTTCCGACCCGTTGACAGGCCTAATTGCGACCGATGAACCAAGATCGATGTGAAACGGTCCGAGCCACGACCGCGCCTTTGAACCATGGTCAGTACAGACATAAAAGAAACATCATCCTACTTAAACCGATTAAAGCCTACCAAAATTCAAGAAGTTTCTCCAATCATGCAATATCGTGTGACAATAGGTGTATCAATCCAAGGCTTCAACTACATTGGTAATGCATGCAGACCAATCAGCGGTCAAACAACGAAGAAAAGCAGGAGAGTAAGAATTAAAGCCACTTGTGCATTAATTTCAGCACTGAAATACCCATTATTAAAGGACATCCAAAATCCTAAAATACCCATGGTACCGTAGCCTTTCAAGAAAGCTAAGAAAAGCTCAATCAAATCCTGACAGCAAGGTCGAGCACTTGGAAAGTTGAGAGCTCTAAATCAAATTTAAACCTCAAATCTTAAAATCTTTTTCATTCCCTTTAAACTCCATTAAATCAACCTTAAGCACTTTTAGCTGGATTTATGTACCACACTTTCAAGATACTTGAACAGAAACCTCCCAAAAATTTCTTTTTACTTGAAAAACATATCTTATTTTAGCTGTTGTTATACAAGTATATACAATACGAGCTCTCTTTCTCGAGATCTATACACTAATAGTTATTAATCTCAACTTGGCTTAAGATTCTAATTGGTTAACCTAGTGAGTCGACCACTTAATTAAATCGGGTTATTAAGTTAAGCAGACACAAAAATAGCTCGTCGGCTTTTTAATGACTCGGCAATTAAATCAGGTTAAACCAAAAAACAAGCGGAGTTTTGAATAGCTCCGTTTTTAGCTATTCAATTTGGAGAAAAAAGTCAACGCCATGCCTGTTAAAAGGTTCTTCCATCTCAGAGAAGGCTCCAAACTTTGGGTCGCATGCCTTTTTGCAATTTT